CGCCTTGAGGGAACTACATCCCTTGAGCTGGTGGAGATGAATATCGATGTACCCGAGGCAAGCCGTTACTAGTCGTAGTAGTTGACCCGAAGGGTACCTAACATACCCATCAGCCTTCATATTTCAAGCACTACTATACCTTCTTAGTAGTAACGTATCGAGAGCCCTGTGTCGAAGGGCTGTGCATGCCAACGCTGTTCCCCTGCATCATCTTAGTCGGACTTAGATTGACCTGTTGTTGTTGTTGTTGTCGTCCCGCTGGCGTCCAATGCTCGCGAGAGGCCACATAGGTGGCCTTGGTAGAAGGAGTGACCTCTTCCCGTAGAGCTATACCTCTGTAATAGTCCATGACCTGGTTATAAAACTCTACTGAGAATCGTCTATTGAGGAGACTTCACTCAAAGCACAGCTATTCACAGAAAACTTATCTTGTTCGAATTGAGCAATGCTGCTGATAAGTTGCTGAAAGGCAGAATTCGTTGTTTGACATTTTGAGCATCCTCATTGTGATGCTCAAATGCAAGTTTTCTATAAGATTTTTCTGAATAAGCAACATCAGTGACTTGCTGAAAAGTTAGTGTCTGGTGTGTTGAATACATTTGGGCATCATTGATAGGTTGCTGAAATGTGGCAAGAGCCTCATTATTGCTGATGCTGCTGTCAGTGCAGATGAAGTAGCGCTCGCCCACAGTAGCGCTTAGGCGATGTCTGTCAATGAGAATAATAATGACTTGCGTTAGCGCGCCATAGTGCGTTATATAAATTTTATTCCCACGGGATGGCTATCAAGCGAAATGAGCTGGGTTGCGTAGGACGTGGGCGGGTCTTATATTACAGTTTCTGATGAGGATAAACTGGCAAGGTTTTTCTACATGAGACAAAACTCTCGTACTCTTCAAGACGGATACAGATGATAGCTATTGTAGAGCGTGTGTATTGTCTTTGTATGTATAGTGATAGACACAAATTGGCTGTTAATCAAGCAAGTGGAAGCTATTCGAGTGTGGGATTGAAGACCGAGGCGGTATTCGACAAGCACTGAATTCCCGTTGTGGTCGATGCTGTTTGTCCATCATGTTTGCAGCTACTGACTAATTGTAAGTATCAGACTAGCATTCGTTTCACGTCCTGATCAAAAACGGAGGATTTCGTGAGTGGCAATGCCCCGAAAGTTCTATATGGGCCGCGCAATGTGGCCGATGGCCACTGGCTGTCTCGGTCCTCGCCCAGACCGAGGAACGTGTGACGTGAACAAGTTTTCATATGGGTGCGCTCCATTCGCACATTCCCCGGACACGATGGGTATAGATCCCATGCTTATGCGGAATGTACACTGTGGAGTGAACTCATCTGGTTAGTGGTGAAATGCGCATGTAACAGGTCGGTGGCTGTTTAGGTGAACTACATTGGATGAGTAATACGTATCTTGGCACGCATACACAAAATACGCGTGCACACATGTAGAGATTGTGTGATCTGCGCGGTGCGGATATTGCAACGCAGTCTCAAATTGAAATGATGGTGTCACTGGTGCGACCTCCATTCAAGCACTCAAGGACATGCTCGGATATGGAAAATAGGAAGAAGCTACTGAGTAGGACGAGTGGACGAGTCTCGTCCATGTACTTCCAACATGGAAGTTCCATGTATTTGATGGGTTCCCCACTGGTTCATTGGTACTGAGGAAACTCAACTATTAAGAATACTCAGAATACTCATAGGTAGATTATGGGAGACAAGTTGTCTCAGACAACTATATTAGTTAAAAGAAGTATGATTCATACTGTATGAAGACTTCAAGACGAACTACCCGCTAAACATCCCGTGCCGATACGCCGCTCAACTGCGCTACCGCTCCAAATACGAGTCGATATTCAAAGCCCCTCGATGATAGGATTGATAATGACCAGCTCGTCTGGGCTCGAGACTTCAAGAGTACGCTGGAATCCCTGCCGTCATGGAATTTAGCCTAGTGTCGGATTGTGACTGAGAGAGGCGCAAACGCTCGCAGAAATCATCCACATTGGGATGTCTCCTGCGGAAGGGACGGTTGATGAAGTTATGGAACCCCTCAGCTGGATTACTAGTTCGCTGAGGAGCATCCGCAACTAGAGCTCGGCATCATTGTTCCGGTGGGAATGTCGAGTCAGGATCCATGTACGTGACGTTGAGATAGCCTACAAGATCCACTACATCAGGAGACTGGGGAGCCGTGTTTTGCAAGTGTTGCCAGGCATGTGAGCACTTGCTGACTGTGAGGCAAGGCAATCCACACAATCGATGCAACCACTTGCTCTTGTCGGACCTAACCCTCTCCGGTGCGCTATATTCTTGAGCCATAGTCTCAGCAATCTTGCGGACCCACGACCTGCACAAGTGCCAGTAACAGCCTTGAATCTCATTCGGCTCTATCTCCCAAACATTCTGCAGAGCCTTTCGCATCGCAACTTCGTAATCAGTTATATAGTAGAACGAGGATACTAAATGAAATAGCTGCCTCTGTGCGAGATCCGTTCGAGTTTGGAGCAGTGCAAACTTGCAGTCTTCCTGGCTCTTGCTCGCCATGAGCACATAGTACACCGGAATATAATGGCCGTCAATTTCAGCAATGCCAGTCCATAATTGGGACCATCCCTTCGGAGCTAGTGTGAAGGTAGCATCCCAGATCATCCCCGAGGCCCGATTCAAAGCTGTAATATTGCGATCGGCAGCGAAAATCAGCATGGGGCGAGTGTTGTTACTATACAATAAAAATCGATCATCGCTACCTCTGCACGTTCCAGCAAGCTGATCAACTCTAGAGACAAAGTCCTCATAGTACCCAGCACGATCGATGTCGAAGGCACGGAGTGCATTCGCAGAGGAGGAGTTGTTCGTTGCTCCATAGGCAGCAGTCGCCAAATTCCGCTGATCACGAGTGTTCGTATAGACATTACCGCGATCAGCTATTATCTCCCTTACAGCATCGGCGCCGACTGGACCTTCTGCAGCCTGATACTGCACTCGTCGTCTCAGAAGGGTTTGCTCGCGGTGAGCCAAATCCGGAGGGGTCGAGCAGTTGTCAGGATGGGGTGAAGTGATTCGAAGAATTGTACAAGCATTGTCAACAATTCTGAGAGTGAGAGACGCACTGCAGCCGCAACATCTCTATCTTTCTTTGTCTTGCTGCAGGAACTTCACAAGACGCCATTCACGATCTTCTAGCCAAACGCTCTTAACTCCCCTGTTGGTTGTCGAGAAAGAGTCCTGCGGTATTGTTGCTCCGACGCGTATCTGAAGAACATCGAGGTATTGATCGCTGCAAGTGCAACGTATACGAGTCTCCAAATTTGAGAGAATGGTCCACAATTATTTAGGGTTGAGTTATCAAAACTGCATACTTGAGTTGAGGTTTAATATATGATTGCTGTAGCGAGAGGCAATGTTCTTCAATGCTCGTCTTTCTCACCTCCGCTCCGCCCTCTCCATTATATCCAACATGACCATCGCTTAGGGGAGCATTAACAGGCTGCTGAGGGAGAGGACCGTTATTAGGCTGCTGAGGTAGAGAAGTCAATACTCCGTATTGATTCGAATATACTCGTGCAGAATTTATTTACTATTGTGATGATACTCATCCCTCCACTTCGTTCCGCCGACACAATCATGTGATAGTGCCATATATAGTGCTTTTCATATTATGAATTTGATAATAAACCCCATAGGAGAACAACTAGGCACAGAAATATGCCCATCACGAGTTCATGGTTACGCACACAATGAGATCGATCCACTGTCCCCATCACGGTTAATGGTTTCACTTTCGAATGGGCCCCTTCCCCCGAGACCAGAGGGTAACCCCAAGTCCACCGCTCTATCAGTTGAGACAGCTATGGTCCCTCGTGTACTATAAGGGTCATGCATAGTTCAGACATGTCGTTGTGCAAAAATACAAGAGAAGTATCCATCCCCGGTATCGAACCTGCGCACATCCGGCCGTTTCAGGATATGGTTGTTATCTACGGCCGGCGGGCCTCCTGTCACCAAAGACCGGGCCTGCTGACACCAAAGAACTCCCACGGCCTCCCACTATCTCCCACTATCTCCCACTTTCTCCCACTTTCTCCCACACGCGACCTACGGTCGCGGCGATGTCCGGGGGGGTGCGCGGCCTACGGCCGCGCCGGGGTTCGCTTTGTTATAGGTCTGGCACCGACGATACCCACCGTTTTTGACTCCATGTTGGTTGCGTCGCGCCCCCCGCGCATTTTCTCGCATTTTTCGTGCATTTGAATATCTCATGAAAAAGTGTGGTCCTATCCTTTTAATCTGCCTTTTCCCATACGGAGAGTTTCAGTAAGTGCAAGTGCAGCGTATACACTCATCTGGTTACAGTTCCAGAACTCAGAATCACTTGTGGAATATTGGTAACTGTGTTGGATAATTTGAATCCGAATCATAGATCCACCACACTGGCTAAAGTGCAGCATATACACTTATCTGGTTACAGTTCCGGAACCAAGTATCACTTGTAGAGTATCGGTAATTGTGTTTGGTTATCTGAAGCCGAGTTATAGACCCACTGCTGTGTCTCAACTATAGCATATACATTTATCTGGTTGCGATTCCGGAACCCAATATCACTCGTGGATCATTGGTAACTGTGTTGGATAATTTGAATCCGAATCATAGATCCACCACACTGGCTCGAGTGCAGCATATACATTTATCTGGTTACAGTTCCGGATCCAAGTATCACTTGTAGAGTATCGGTAATTGTGTTTGGTTATCTGAAGCCGAGTTATAGACCCACCGCTGTGTCTCAACTATAGCATATACATTTATCTGGTTGCGATTCCGGAACCTAGTATCACTCGTGGAATACCGGTAATTGTGTTTGGTAATCTAAAGCCGAGCCCTAGAGCCACCGCACTGGCTCGAGTGCAGCGTATACACTCATCTGATGACAGTTCCGGAACTTAGTATCACTTGTGGAATATTGGTAACTGTGTTGGATAGTTTGAATCCGAATCATAGATCCACCACACTGGCTCAAGTGCAGCATATACACTTATTTGGTTACAGTTCCGTAACCAAGTACCACTTGTAGAGTATCGGTAATTGTGTTTGGTTATCTGAAGCCGAGTTATAGATCCACCGCTGTGTCTCAACTATAGCATATAGATTTATCTGGTTGCGATTCCGGAACCTAGTATCACTCGTAGAATATCGGTAATTGTGTTTGGTAATCTAAAGCCGAGCCCTAGAGCCACCGCACTGGCTCAAGTGCAGCGTATACACTCATCTGGTTACAGTTCCAGAACTTAGCATCACTTGTGGAATATTGGTAACTGTGTTGGATGATTTGAATCCGAATCATAGATCCACCACACTTGCTCAAGTGCAGCATATACACTTATCTGATTATAGTTCCGGAACCAAGTATCACTTGTAGAGTATCGGTAATTGTGTTTGGTTATCTGAAGCCGAGTTATAGATCCACCGCAGTGTCTCAACTATAGCATATACACTCATCTGGTTACAGTTCCGGAACTTAGCATCACTTGTGGAATATTGGTAACTGTGTTGGATAATTTGAATCCGAATCATAGATCCGCCACACTGGCTAAAGTGCAGCATATACACTTATCTGGTTACAGTTCCGGAACCAAGTATCACTTGCAGAGTATCGGTAATTGTGTTTGGTTATCTGAAGCCGAGTTATAGATCCACCGCAGTGTCTCAAGTATAGCATATACATTTATCTGGTTGCGATTCCGGAACCCAGTATCACTTGTGGATCATTGGTAACTGTGTTGGAAAATTTGAATCCGAATCATAGATCCACCGCACTGGCTCAAGTGCAGCATATACACTTAT